CGATCTGGCTAATCTACATGCCTCCGTCGAAGGAGGCATGTAGTCTAGACACACCCTATCTGTTGCCTAGAGAAGTATTTAAGAGTTCTAGGAAGACAAGAACATTCCTTCCTGTGACTGGGGTGCAGACCCCCACACTATCAGAACCGTGGAGGCGGCCTGGGGAGGAGATGGATCACTGCCCCACCGACCCTGTGGCGCCTGCACCAGAGTAGTGCACGAGGGTAGAACCCTGGCAATGGGAGCTAGGGAGAGGAATAGCCCCGGCCCTGCCACTGGGCGGGGGCGCAACGGGGAAGCAGAGCCATGCTGTGCCATGGACAGGGACATGCACGGACCAAGTGCGCATGCACAGATAAGCCAGGGTGAAAGAGCAAGCTTTGGGACCCTGCGGAAACTGGAGAGGGCATCGCGGCAGGTGAAACAGTGGAGCGTGCTGATGCCAGGGGAGGGACAGAGATACGTAAGCAGGAGAGGAGATGGATAAGAAGGGAGGGGAGAATGCGGGGGGGAGTGAGGGGTGGTTTGGCTCCCACCGTGTGCCTTTCACTTCACAGGAACCCCCGGAGAAGACAGAGGAAGGAGCCCCGCGTGCGAGGGTCAGCAGGACAGACCAGGCTGAGGAGTCGGACGTGGGAGACAGAGTCGGGTAGTCTCAGCAAGCAGTCCCGAGGACAACGGAACCCTAAGCTCAGCCCAGTGAATGAAGGATCAGGAGGGGGACTCAGGAAACTGCAGGGTACTGCATGGACAGTAGGGGGGAACGGGACGTGGGAGTCCCGAGTTCTGATGAACAAAATAAAGATCGCTCACACTTTCCTTCAGAGAACAGTATACTTCAAGGTTTGAGAAGGTCTTCTAGTGCTGCTGCACTCTCTGAGGCCCCATGCCAGTGCAGGGATGGAGTGCAGCACATGCATTCAAAGATGTTAAGGGAGAAAGAACCACTCTGATAACCTTGGGTGACCTGCACAGTACAGGCCAAAGAACCTCACTCCTGCATTTAGCCCTTAACTTGGGACCAAACTGCCACTGAAGCTCTTGCTTCTTTACAAAATCCCTTCGGAGATCAGGATCAGATATCCAGGGAATACAATCTGTAGATTGCTAGTTATAGAATTATCTAGGAACTCTGCCCTCACTCCCTGCTCCCAGCCACTGCTCTGAGTGCATGGAATACTGAAATCCCAGCTGAAATCAGGCAGACCAAGTCTTGCTCCACTTTAATCTTGCCCCACTTTAATCCCACAGCCACTGTTCTAATATGTGCCAGGTCACAAAAACATTAAACAGTTTGGGTCATAGAAAACATCCACTCAGTGTGCAGAGGCAGTCAAAAAAGCAAATAGAATGTTAGGAATCATTAAAAAGGGGATAGAGAATAAGACATATCGGCATTGGAAAAGATTCAGAAAAGGGCAACAAAAATGATTAGTGGTTTTGGAACAGGTCCCATATGAAGAGAGATTAAAAAGACTTGGACTTTTCTGCTTAGAAAAGAGGAGATTAAGGGGGAATATGAGAGAGGTCTATAAAATCATCACTGGTGTGGAAAAAGAGAATAAGAAAAAGTTATTTACTTATTCCAACAATAAAAAAAACTAGGGGTCACTAAATGAAATCAATAGGCAGCACGTTTAAAACAAACAAAAGGAAGATTTTCTTCACCTAGTGCACAGTCAACCTGTGAAACTCCTTGACAGAGAAAGCCAGGATGGGTAGGAATGGTGGCCCTAGCCTCTGTTTCTCTGGAGGTAGGTGACAGGGGAGAGATCACATGAGGATTGCCTGTTGTGATCCCTCCCTCTGGGGCATTTGGTATTTGGTCACTGTGGGCAGCCAGGATACTGGGCTAGATGAACCTTTGGTCTGACCCACTATGGTCGTTCTTATGTAAACAGTAACAGGAAACTTGGAAATGACAGAGGTGACTTCTTTTTTTTGGTCTTTACCAAGAAGTCTGATGATGAAGGAATGCCTAACAGTGAATGCTAGTGGGAATGGGGTAGGTTTAGAAGAAAAAATAAAAAAAGAACAAGTTAAAAATCACTTAGAAAAATTAGATCTCTGCAAGTCACCAGGGCCTGATGAACTGCATCCTAGAATAGTTAAGGAGCATAAAGAGGAGGTATCTGAGCCTAGAGCTATCATCTTTGGAAAATAAGATTCTGAGCCTTTAGCTATCATCTTTGAAAAATCCTGGAAGACAGGAGAGATTCCAGAAGACTGGAAAAGGGCAAATATAGTGCCCATCTATAAAAAGGGAAATAAGAACAACCCAGGAAACTACAGACCAGTCAGTTTAACTTATGGGCCAGGAAAGATAATGGAGCAAGTAATTAAGAAATTCATCTGCAAACATCTGGAAGATAATAAGGGGGATAGGGAACAGCCAGCATGGATTTGTAAAGAACAATTCATGTCAAACCAATCTGATAGCTTTCTTTGATAGGCTAACGAGTCTTGTGGATGAGGGAGAAGCGGTGGACGTGGTATACCTAGACTATAGTAAGGCAATTGATACGGTCTCACGTGATCTTCTTATCAATAAACTAGGCAAATACAACTTAGATGGGGCTCCTATAAGGTTGGTGCATAACCGGCTGGACAACTGTTCTCAGAGAGTAGTTATTAATGGTTCACAATTGTGCTGGAAGGGTATAACAAGTGGGGTTCCACAGGAGTCTTTTTGGGACCAGTTCTGTTCAATATCTTCATCAACAATTTAGACATTGGCATAAAAAGTAAGCTTATTAAGTTTGCAAATGATACCAAGCTGGGAGGGGTCGTAACTGCTCTGGAGGATAGGGTCAAAATTCAAAATGATCTGGACAGACTTGAGAAATGGTCTGAGGTAAACAGGATGAAGTTTAATAAGGAAGGAAAAATGCAAAATACTCCACTTAGGAAGGAACAATCAGTTTCACACATACAGAATGGGAATCGACTGTCTAGGAAGGAGTACTGCAGAAAGGGATGTAAGGGTCATAGTGGACCACAAGCTAAATAGGAGTCAACAGTGTGACGCTGTTGCATGATTCTGGGATGTATTAACAGGAGCGCTGTGAGCAAGACAAGAGAAGTCATTCTTCCGCTCTACTCTGCGCTTATTAGGCCTCAGTTGGAGTACTATGTCCAGTTCTGGGTACCACATTTCAAGAAAGATGTGGAGAAATTGGAGAAGGTCCAGAGAAGAGCAACAAGAATGATTAAAGGTCTAGAGAACATGACCTATGAAGGAAGACTGAAAGAATATATCTGGAGATATTCAAGGGCAGGTTAGATAGACATCTATCAGGGAGTGATACATGGTCTAGATGGTACTGGGTCCTGCCGTTAGGGCAGGGGACTGGACTTGATGACCTCTCGAGGTCCCTTCCAGTTCTAGTGTTCTATGATTCTATGACTTACCCCCATCACCTTACCACGCTGTTCAACATCTTCCCACATTGAGTGAACTATATAGTGACACATGTATTTTCCAGCTCGACCTTCTTGCTTCATTCGCACCAGACACATCCTGCAAAAGAACAAGCACAAGAGAAGTTGGTTTGTTTTCCAACTGCTTCTTCAGACTTTAAAAGAGTAAAAAAAACACTCCTATTTTTAACTCCCTTACAAATCTCACTTCAGCATGGCATATTTTTACTTTCACAAACTTGCCTTCTATATATTTCAAGCCAAAGCTGCTGGATTTCAGTCTAGTCTACAGTGGGGATATTTACATGAATAGTTAAACAGTTTTCACCAATGGCTGGACCTGCAGAACAGGTGAGGCTACTATGGCTAGAATCATTCTTTGAACTAGAGAAATCCTCAAAAAATCAGGGTAGAAAAATGGCTCTGCCTGCCAGAGCCAATGAAATTTCAATCAGATTTAAAAACAGATTGAACTTTAGGGAACATTTCCCAAATGTAGGTAAGGCATTAGTGAAAATGCATTTCTATTGCTTTTTCTTCCAATAAGCTGGCAGAGCCAATCTAGCTACTGAAGGTAGCACTGGAGTCTGTCCAACTTCACTTCTCAACAATTCCTTAGGAACGTGAAGGTCTTGGGCCTAGTTCACTTCAGGCATTTGAACATGTTGTAATTAAAACAGACTGTACTGAACTGCCTCCGTGTCCTCATTAGCCATGCTGCATCAGGTTAAGAATCACTGCATGTTTGACCCATGTCCACAGTAAGGCTATGTCTATACTATGCACCAGTGGTGTGATTCCCAGCTTGTGTAGACACACTCAGGCTAACTCTCATGTGAGCTACAGCACCACAAATAATAGGACAGCGCCAGTAGAACAGGCAGCAGCCAAATGTGCTGGCTGCACGAGTACATACCCATGGGATTCAGGAAGATTTGTACTCACAGTGGCCAAGGCTATCACCACACTGATATTTTTAGCATGTTAGCTCACATGAGAGCTAGTATGGGTATGTCTATGCAAGCTAATACTCCTAGTATGTAGTACAGACAAGCCTAAGGACTTCATATGTGGCAATCTGGGGTGCAAATTTACCCCTCAGTAATCAGCTATGTACTACATGTACCCTGTTACAGTACACAAAAAGTTCTCTAGTGTGCTTTGATTCACCTCACTTTGAAATGCACTAGAGAACTTTTAGTTCACAGCAGCAGGGTCTACACATACTCATGGACACTGAGTGTGTAGCAATTACAAATCTTCCCATGAACTAAATGTTCACGTAGTAGAAAAATTCTAGCACTGACCTAAACCATTTCAGCTGCAATGGCCCACTCCCCAGAGCAGTGCATTCTGGGAGATTTTGAAAAGTTCCAAGTGCACTATGAAACATTCATAGGAGAACTGGGTTAAACTGTATCAGCTTCTCTGCATCAAAACTAACACTGAAACAGCTCAGGCTAACCTGGTGTTTAGACCAGAAAAATCAAATTCTACTCTGTTTGATTAGTAGTGTGCTAGTAAACCACTTGGAGCACTTTCCTGTGTGAATGCAAAGGGAATGGTGCTTAAATGTGTATGTTTCTCTCGCGTACACAAGTCTTGTGTCTAGCTATGCACATTGATGGTGCTTACCATATTGTGGATGCTGCCTCAGTAGAAAGAATAAATTAGCTACAGAATCCTTACTACTGGGGATGACATGCAAAAAGAAAAGGAATCGGTTTATATCTCAGATTTCAGGCAGGCTACTGACCATTAGAAAAAACAAATTTTTCTTGTAAATGGAGCAAAAATTACTACAGAGGTGAGTTACTGATGCCATGAAAACTAGAGCCCCATGAAGCCACTGGTACCAAAACACTTTTCAGATGAGAGCTACATTTTCCAAACCACTTACATGTGTTTGTTTTAAACTTAGAAATCAGAGATGAAAAACATCTCAAAGACCTAATTTCTAGATCGAGGACATCTGGAAATGGTGAATTTTTATTGGCCGGAGCTGGTTATGCAGCAGTTGGGATAGCAATGGGAAGGTCAGGCAGCTCTTTGTCACACCCTCTGCCTCTGGCCGTCTGCCCTTTCTTCTCTTTCTTGGGTTATTTTGGACTTCTTGTGCTTTCTGATTGAAGCAAACTGGATCTGAAGCTTTGGCCGTAAGATGCACAGCTGGAAGCTTTGCTGGGTGGCCCAGAGTACATTACAACAAACTTAAAACTAGGGGTGTTAAATATCGGTTAACTGAATAGTTGAGTAACCTCATGAATTCTTATTGGTTAGTCGACTATTCTATAGTCCCTGGGAGCAGGGCCGGCAGCCAATGAGCTCCGGCCCCACTCGCAGAGAGCCCCCTGACACTGACTGTATCAAAGGCAGCAGCACAGGGTGCCAGGCGGGAGCTGGTCTGCGAGGGGAGCCAGTTTAAAAACCAGCTCCCCTTGTGGACTGGCTGCCTGTCACCCTGTGCTGTTGCCTCAGATAAAGAGGCAGCAGGGTGGTAGCAGCCCCTGTTCAGGTGGGATCTGAGTTCCCGAACCTGGAGCAAGCCAGAACTGAGCCAGACTGCCTGCCCACTAGGCTCCTCATACACTTTAAATGCAGAGCTGTAGTGGGGATAGGTCCCAGACCCAGCGCGAGCCAGGACTGAGCCAGGCTGCTAAAAAATGAACTGGCAGGGGTAAGAGGAGAAATGTGTGTAGTCTATGCATTAGCCTATAAGCTTTTGCTTATTGGTTAATCAGTTAACTGACTATACTATAACATCCCTACTTGAAATCTCTTCTAATATCTGGCAGTAGCGACTAGTGCTGCCATTGGAGAGTTCACTAGCTCAACTAAGCCGCTGAGTGTGGTTCAGGGCATAAGATTAGCACCTTGATTCAGAGCAAGGGGGGAAAAGTAAGAGTCACAGGAGGAGCAGAGGGAAGAAAGACAGATGGGACAGTGATACAGGAAGGATGGAGGGATGCTGGGACAAAGGCGAATAGGAGAACAGAGTTGGGGCAAAGCAAGAGAGGAAGAGTAGAAGGGATGTATGAAGACAGAAGGAAAGTAAATATAAGGTACAGGGATAAGTGGGGAGGGAATGCAAGAAAGATGGCTAGAAGGACTTGGCGAGAGAAATGCGAAGATGGGCAAAGTGAGAGAGGCTTGTGGAAGAGAGAGGGATGGGGGGAATTTCCTAAAAAGGTGTCAGGGTTTTTTTTTTTTTAAATGGGAAAATGCTCTGGTGCTGTGTGGTATTCCCAGAGCTCATGTGGTGACTTCCAGTGTAGGTATGAGGATAGCTGATGATCCCTTCATTGGCTGGCAGTACTGTCCTTCCTTCAGCACTAGCAGGTGGTGGGGAAGAGGGATGGTCACGAGTGAAGCAGAGTGTATCAGACCCATCCAGAAAGGAACAATAATCCTGCAGTGAAAGCACTGGGCTGGGACTTAGGGGATATAGATCCACTTCCCAGTCCTGTCACAAACTCCTTGCCTGACCTTTGGCTTAACTCAGTTCTATGTATAAAATGAGGCTATTGTACCCTTTTACACACCATTCGTCTGTCCTGTGTATTCAGATTTCCAAGTCCTGGCCACACAAACACTATGATTAGTGATAATCTTGGAATCCCACTGATTTCCACATACCCACAGAGAGACAGTGAAAGAGCATGTTTCGGGAGCACAACTCTAGATGAAAAAAGGAGTTTTACATGTTATGGGCTGGGTAGTCAATCCAAGGGAAAAAAGCAAGCAACCCCAGCAAGAGATTCCCTCAATATAAATGCTGCTTCCCATCCAATCTGCAGTATTCCTCAGTAGTGTCAAAGGAGAAGGTAAGAGTGCAATGGACCAATAATCACAATCCATCACTAGAAGTGCAAGAATGGAGCAGTGTTCAGAGTAAACCTCGTCCTTCTTGAAGCCTGAAAAGACGCTGTGTCTTGGATGCATAGTGCTGTCATAGAGCAGTTCAACAGCACCAAGAGTGAGGTCATGGAATTCTGAAGTTTATTTGAAAATTTGGTAGTTTGTTACGACACCTGCCATCTGAGGTTTAAAAGACATGGATTTTCTTAGACTATAAACTTTCTAACTAGATCAACATGGTATGAAATGCTTTACTTTTTCACTACAGAACACATTCTGTAGTCCAGTCAAATACTGAATCATCTTTGTCACACCAGTAAGGTGAAACTGTTCCACACTCAGATTACTAGTTTTAAAAAGTTATATGCATCATTACTTTAAAACTATGATATTTTGACATTTAAAATATCTTATAAATATTGCTTTTTATCTGGTTACCTAAAACAATTGCTATTCTGCACTGGTGATGGAAAAAGCCAGCAGTACCCACACTTAGTTAAAATACTTGCATTTTAACCAGTTACTCTGAAATTGGATCCTTTATGAGATATGTACATTGAACTCAGATCTAAGGGACAAATTCTGTCTTCATATACACAAGCAGGAGCCCTTTTCAAATCATTGAGTGTTCTACAGGTGGATCCAAGAAAAGCCTTTGGCCCACACTTGCTAATAAAACACAATGACCAAACAGTTACTGTTTCCAATGTGATATCCTGAAGTCAGTAATGAGGAAACAAAGCAAAATCATAATGCCTGGCAAGAAAAATTAGATTAACATGATGAAGAAATAATGAAACTGCAAAACTGTTATTACAGCCAAATAATAAACTGGGTTAGAACAACCATGCAATTCCAACACAAAAATACATTTAAAATCTTGGTGTTTCAAGCAAATGATATACAGCTAGCTCCTCTGTAACTTTATTAAAAGACATTAATTTTGATTTTAAACCTAACTAATCACCATGAAACTACTTGATACAAATTAAATTTCACGCATTAAACAGTGATTAAACTAATAGTTTCAAATTACTTAGAACCATCAAAGCTTCAGCTCAAGCACTTAGCTGACAAGCACATGAGTAGGTTGAAGCAAGGCAGCTGTGGATGTGTCTTCACTTAAATGTGACTGAAGCCAATGTCAGTGCCCCACTATACTGACAACATTTTCTTGTCCATTCCAAAACAAGTAAGATCAACCTTTTAGCACATGGAATAGCACCACTGGGAAGGAAGGAG